ATAGTTGCTGCTCATCCAGGGACCATAAGTTTCCTGACTATTCCTCTTACCTCTTGTCTGGTCTATTTCAGCTGATACTTACCATAATCATACATCTCTGTGATGATAACACTTTTAATGTTTCTCTTACTTAACAACTGTGCTTGTGAACCCATGCAGATATTATAACTGGGGTCTTCTGAAAATGAAATTATTTTTTGCATTGTGAATCTATGGTCAGAGTGGGAGGATCTTGGAAAGCACAAATAGTATTTTTGGAATAGTAAAATATGCATCTACTGTTTATATCTCTCATTGCATTTCACACCCTATTTTAATACTTGTACATACTTTCAATTGAAATACATCGTTTTGGTTAATTTAGCTATCAATTACATGAAATGATTTATATGTTATTTATGGTTTTCTAATACTAACATAATTTGCTAAAACTCTTAAATTGCACATTAAAGTTAACTTATACATTTTAATATGTTGTCAGTATTCAAAATAGAAGAGATGTCATACAAAATGCACATTTGCAAATATTAAACTTCATTTCTGGCTTTAATATTCACAGAACTATTGTTTTCTCTTCTTTTCCAGGGCTTCTTTCATGTCATCCATTGACCAAACATTTATCCAGCACTTTCCTAACACCACAAGTAATGTATTTAGAGACAAAGTGGAAACTATGCTTGCTTTCTCTTGCTTAAGCTCAGTATCTTTAAAACGATCAAATAAAGAAGCTCTATAACATTGTGATTCTTTGAAGCACAAAAAATTAAAATTAAATTAGATTTATTTATTTTATTTTGTGTGTGAGTATTTGGCTTGCATGTATGTATGTGTACCACATTCAGGCTTGGTGCCTACAGCAGTCAGAAGAGGTTAAGGGTTTCACAGAAACTTTTGGATGGTTGTGAATCACCACATATAGGTACTTGTAACAGAACTTGAATTCTCTGTAAGAGCAGTAAGTGCTCTTAACCACCCTCTAGCACTCACAAAAAGGTTTCTTAAAAGCTAGTTTGGAGGTTTGAGAGATGGCCCAGCAGTTGAGTGATTGTTGCCCCACTGAACAGTGGAGCCAGGTTCAGTTTCTAGCATCAACCCTGTGGCTCACAGCCATCTGTAACTCCAGTTCCAGGAGATCCAATGCCCTCTTCTGACCTCTGAAAACACAAGGGTACACATGTAGGGCACATAATACATACAGGAAAAACATTCATACCCATATGATATTTAAATAATTTTTAAAAATTGAAGCTGGTTTAGCACATTTTCTATAGAAATTTCATATAATTAACACATTTTATAGATAATCATTGTCTAAAGTTATAAAATTTTCATGGGACACATCTTTGTTTCTGTTGTACATGCTTTTTTTGTTAATATTGATGCTTAAGATTAACTTTTCTTCAAGCTCAAACTCGAATCCTTTCTCTTGAAGGCATGTGTTGCTTTCCATTGAGAATATGTATTTGCTATTAACTACTTTATTCTCACTAAAATACCCTGATTCCATTGCACAGTATACAGATTTTTGGTTTTCTTCAATACTTATTATTCATGCTCTACAGTTTTCTTATCTTGAAATCCAAACAGTTGAAAGTGGTAAATAAATTTAAAGCTCATTCAGAGTTGTTGCAATGCCCATGCTTCTGTGTGTGCATGTGTATGTTAGTAGGTCAGTAACTTTAGTAACTTTAGGCAAGCATTTATATTAGGAATCCTCATTTCCAATGTATTAAGGCAATTAGACATTTCTCTATCTCTATGACATATCTTTGCCCTCTTTCTTATTCTTTTGAAATTACCTTGATGAAATAACTCCACATGGCATGTGTAATCATATTTGACTTGTGTTTTCATGACCCTGAACTTAGCTTTTTGAGAAGGCACACTTGACATAATGGAATCTAATGTCTACACTAATACATAAGGATCTATTTTTTCCAAGATTGCTCAAACAAAAATTGGCTGATCATTCAATCATTCTTGAGAATTTTAAATAGAGATTGAAGATGAAATGAAGAAGAGTCTTCAAATGAACCTTAAAATCAGAATGCAAGCAGATTTCAAAAAAATGGAATGAGGGAGGAGAGTTCATTCATCATCACAGTAGAACAATGTCTGAGGTCAAAGGCCAATGAGTTATCTTAAAGGTATCCTGAGACATTTATATGTAAAATGCAATATATAAGATGTAGTAAATCTTAAACATAGGAGTTTACCCATTTCTCTTTTGGTAGGTGTAGATCACTACTGTCACTGTAGATAGTTATTATTCTGCAGCTATTTGATCAAAAGTCCTTGTTGATGATGGTTTGTGAGTCTGTAAAACATTTAGCCAAGCTAAGTAGTTGCCTTCCTTATTTCAGCATAAATCCTTACAAATCCCATCATTTTCCCATCATGATCTCGACGTCCCCTGCAGAGACGAGCAGCCACACTAGTGGAAACCCATGAACTGTAGACCAATAACTGTGGAGTACCCATAGGACTAGTCTAAGCCCTCTGGATACACGAGACAGTTGTTGAGCTTGAACTGTTTGGGGGTCCCCCAGGCAGGGGGATTGAGATCCATCCCTGGTGCATGGGCAAGCTTTTTGGAACTCAGTGACTAGGTTGTGGCATCTTGAGCAGGCTTGGTACAGGGGGGAGGGGCTTGGACCTGCCTCAGCTCAGTGTGCCAGGGTCTGCTGACTCCCCATGAGAGACCTTGATTTGAGGGAAGTGGGAATGGGGTTAGGTTGTCTGGGAGGCTGGAGGGTAGGAAGAGGGGGATCTGTGGTTGGTACGTAAAGTGAATAGAAAATTTTTCAATAAGAACAAAAAATATCAAAAACAAAAAACAAACCAAACAAACAAACAAAAATCCCAAATCCCATCATTTAATTATTTGGGTTATTTCAATGTCCATTGCAATTGCATGTGTTTAGCTAAGATATATCTCTAGTGTGGTCATAGGAACTGAGATCAAATCATGCTTCAGTTGGAAACTATTGCCCCCTTATTTTCGAGATTTCATGGATTTGGGGGTTTCAAAAATCATAGTAGTTACTATTATGTCCACTATATTCTAGCTCAGCAAAAATGCTCTACCAGCATTACTCATAATTCTAGAAGTTTGATTTTAAAGGATATTAAATGGCTTTTTATGTTTGGGTGGGCTTGTTTCACCTATATTTTACATTTCTTTGTTTGTTTGTTTGCTTGCTGTTTTGCGGATATATTTTTTTTGATACAAAAATCTTGCTATTTATTTGATGCTGACCTTGAGTTCAGAATTTTTTTTTTTAATCTCCAAAGTGTTAGAATATGGGACTGAATTATCATGTCTGTCTTTTGCAAACTTCAAAAAGGACATATTTCCTGCATGCATTCACTCACTCATTATTTACATATAGAGCTAAAACATAAATAGCAGTTCTCTTCCCAGCATAATGTAACTTCATTGGCTAATGACAGAAAAAAAGAAACTTACTTTGTGATTTATTGCACAGTTGGAACTTTGGGATTCTGGAATTCCTTCAAGATGTTTTTATAATTATTTATCCTGATGTACTGCCTGAGAAAGGCTTATGCATTAAATTATCTCTCTGACATTTTGCAGGGAGCTCAAGTTTAAGTATAGGACTCAAAGGCCAGTATCTTACAAGAATATAAACCAAAAGATTTTTCCTCTTGAATTCTGGAAAGAATGGTCTGGAAAAGGTTAAGAGTGAGAAGGAGCCCTGCCAGCAATTATCTCACCAGGTTCATGAAAATGCATTATTATTAAATGCAATATTTTTAAAGGGGTATATGTGGGATTGTTCTTATATTATTCAAAATAGAAAATTACTTTGGATGTTCCCATATGAAGCGGGTTGCTGCCTTAGTTATGCATGGCTCTATTGCTGAGAAGAGACACCATGAACAAGACAACTTAAAAATGAAAGAATTTACTTGACGTTTGCTTACAGTTTCAGAGGGTTAGTCCATGATTATCATGGCAGGGAAGCAAGCAGGCAGGCATAATTCTGGAGAAGTATTTGAAACACAGCACAGGGCAGAAAGAGAATGATACTGGGCATGGCATGAGCTTTTGAAAGCCCAACCCCAATAATACACTTCCTTCAACAAGACCACACCTCCTAATCCTTCCCAAACAGTTTCACCAATTGGAAAGCAAACATTCAAATGTATTAGTCTATTGGGCCATTCTCACTTAAACCACCACATCTGGGATTATATATAATTGAAATGTGACAACTCTTAGGAGAAACTTACCCTTTCCCATTTGAAATTATGGAATCTGGCATTCTTGTGTAAAAGAGGAGATACAAGTTTTGCCAGCTTTGTTATAAACTAGAAATTTACATGTCAGAGCAATGCCTGTGATATATTGCTTAAGTGGTAGAAATTAGTGTATACAAACATGCACATACACACACGCATACACACTCACCCACACACACACTACAATTTTAGAAATGTAAATTTACAGAGGTTTTGTAGATATGTTTATGTTTTTATGTATATTTGAGAGTGAGGAAGTATTATATATATATACATATTAGAATTAAGCACAATATCATAAGATAAGCACCAGACTAGATAAGGAATAGTGTAGCCATAATGGACTTATAAAAACCATTATTCTTCTCACTATTCTTATATTTTTTTTATGGTAGAGCCTCGAAGGTATGAAATTTGTAATGGTGCCACAGGTATTTTTAAAATGTAAAGATGATAAAAGAGTGTCTTTTAAAATTACTACATTAAAAACCACTGCAGAATACTATTCAAATAAAAAAAAATTGTTTGTGGTAGGATACCAGTTAATGTTTTTATTTGTAAAAATAGGACTCCAGTCTGCTGCAGAATACACAGAAAGTAAATGCAGAAATTTCAAAAACTATTCTGAATATAAAGAAAACTGATTTATAGTTAATATTAGATTTTTTAATACTTTATCATAAATTTCTATATAGTATATGACTACTAATCAGCCACGTATATTCTCAGTTCCTCATTTACAGTTGTCTTAAAACAGTAGCGTAGGTAACTTCTCACAACAAAGCACTCCAAAAATTCCTACAACTCTCCAGAGAAAATTAACTCATTAAAATGAAATCTGAGTCTTGCCCATGCTTCCTGCTTCTCAGACTCTAACTCTCCACCTCTCTTTACCTGCTTCCTTTAAACTTCAAGAAATAATTCAGCTTGTGAAAGTTATTCCAAGTCCTCTGCCTCTTTGAATTCATACATTTGACTTCCTCATGCTAAGATATTCTCCCAAATCATAAATTCCACTTTTGTAGACAAGTTTATCCTCCTTCAGTGTTAATGCATGATGTCTTCCTCAGTCTCATTTTTATGCCTCTCAGCATGAGCCTGGATAAGTTCCATCTCACTGCATTCACAAACTTTTTCAGGGCTCCTTTCTCATGGCACTCGTCCCAGTAAATTAATTTTTTCAGCTTTATTGAAGTATAGTTGACATACAATCAGCAGCACATTGTAATGTGTATGATTTAATGAGCTTTGACACATGTGTACAACCATAAATCATCACCACAAATCAAGATAATGACCTTTCCCCATCATCCAAAACAGTTTCTCCACATCCTTTTTCTTCTTTCTCTTATCCCTCTTCATCCTCTCCCAGGGAAATGCTGATCTGCTTTATGTTTTAAGAGATTATTTTGAACTTTACAGTGTTTCATATAAATGGGTTTTTTTTTGTAAAACACTATTCCCCTTTAAATTTCTGTTTATTTTCACTCAACATAATATTGTTAAAATTTGTTGCTGTTTCATATCTTCATGATTCACTCATGTAGTATTCTTAGTGGCTGTCCAGTAAGTTTGTAGTCAAAGATTTTTATCCATACACTTATTGATAAAAATTTGCAAATTCCAGTTTGTGGCTATACAAATACAACTGTTATGTCTAGGTATGTACAAGTCTCTGTGTTCAGATAGACTTTTATTTTCACTATGTGGATGCCTAAGAATGTGGATAAGTATGCCAGGATGCAGAAAACTGAATGACTTCAAATAACAGAGGTTTGCTTCCTTCTCTTCTAAAGTCCGTAAATCTAAAAAAAGGTTCTAAAGGGATGTGCTTCCTCCAAAGACTCTAGTGAGATTCTGGAATTGCTAAACATCCTTGACCTTCAGATGGATCAATCCAATCCATTGTTGTCTTCATATAACCTTCTCCTCTTTGATTCCTAACACATAGAGATTCTGTATTTAGGTTGATGGTCATATACATACATACATTTACAATATACATACATACAATATTCAAGATAATCATTGTTTTTTCAATTACTGGATACTTAGACGAATGTGCTAAAATACAAGAGAATATAGAAAATCAGTGTTCTTTTAGCACTGTACCCTTCATAGTCATTATCATGTATAGAATGACCAGTGACAGTATGAATGTAGGTATTATAATTTGTATATTTACATTTAAATATCAATTTGAATAGAAAAAACACAAAACTATACACTTGCAGAAGTTTTAAGTAACTTTTAAATATTAACATGAAATTTAGCTCTAGATAACTAAATAATTTAATAATATTTAAACACTAATGTTTAAAATACTAACAAAACTAATGGTATTGAGTAGAATTATGCAAACCATTTTTAAAACTATAAAAGCAGCTTTGTAAATAAAATATCACTTTCTAATGAGAACAAAGAATCTTCAGAAAAAAATGAAAACTCTTTATTCTCTTTGCTGTCCATTCCAATATTTACTGAATACTTTCTATAAAATATTTGCTACTTGATAATCAATTGTTTGACTGCATTTAATATTTTAACCCCATGATACACAGAAGGTTAATGTAAGACAAGCATACCTGCTCTCTAAAAGCTTCGTTGTTAGTTTTTAAATTTTATATGTGGGACTATTTTTATTTTCTCCTACATATTTTCTGTATTCAGTACATCATATACTATTGAAATATTCAGCTCTTAGCTGCCTACTGATTAACCCCATGTACCTTACAATTGTGTTTGTTGGAAAGTTTCATACAACAACTTCTGAGGGGTCATTTTAATTTCTGGGATTAATTACAATGCAAATGTTACCTTAGTTCTTAATTCACAGAAGGCTGAAGAATACCCCTGTCCCCAAATCTATGTCCACGGGAACCATATTGTGACCTTATTTAGATCTTCACAGTTGTCAGGTTTAAATGAGGACATACAGAGTTAAAATAGATCTTGTCCAGTGACTAATGTCATAATAAGAGAGAAGTTGAAACATTGAGGTACTCAGAGAGGATAGCATGTGACCACTGAGGCAGGGATGCAGGCATGCATCTGCCTAAGTGCATGGAGTTGACCAAAGACATCCAAGTGAGCAGTGGAGTATGTTATACTTCAAAGCCTCTACAGAAAGCATGGACCTGCTGATGCCTTGATTTCAGGGTTGTCACAGACAAAATTGTGATGTACTAAATGGCTGTTTAAAGTCACTGGCTAATAATCCATGATGCTGTCACTTTGAGTTAGTTTTATTTCATGCCTTTGGATGTTTCTCTTCAATTGCTCCTGCCTTCCCATTCACACACTGTGTCAATGAGGCTAATAAAGTGAAGTTCTTGTGGCTTGGCCTAAAGAGACTCTATAAGAAAAATTGATTTACAAACAACAGAAAAACCTATTTGCAGCTACTTTTGATGGATTCGAACTGTGGTTTTGCTTTAAAGTGTTACTTTATTTGTTCATGAACACATTTGCCCAGAAACACTGAGCACACAGGAGATGTGTGTTGAGTCCACTCAGGAGATATGGACATTATTCAGAGCCTAAGATATAGACAAAATTCAATTCAGATAATTAATTATATACCATTTGGAAGGTCTGAAAACCTGACCGGGGAAGCTTGAGAGAAACTGTGGATAAGGAGCAGTGAAGTTCCTTCCATCCCTAAGTTAGTGTTACTCTAGACCTTCTTCCAGGCAGAAGCTGGCCGCCTTACTCAGTGGAGGCAGGGGCCACAGAAGACAGGCAGCTCCTGTTGGTGACCTCAGTGCACAATGGAAAGAATATAGCCTTCTATTTACTCAAATAAGTAAGGAGTCAGAATCCTCGAATGTAGAAGACATGGGTCCTCAAGGGTCAGTCTTTGACCTCATGTTGGAATGAGGAGGAAATCTAAGAGAAATGAGCCGGGATGCTCATATATTTTCTGTTCATGACTTTCTACCTATCACTTCTTACTATCATCTGTGTCAGGTTCTAATTGTTTATCTTATATGTTGTTAAGATCTAACCATTTGTCTTGACTCTACTTGAAATAGTCTTTTAGCTATTGTAAGTATATTATATTTTTGTACCTAATCTATGAAGATGGTTTTCTTTTTGTTTTTTCTATAAGATAAAGTAAGAATGTAGTAAGCTAAAGATTTAGGTGTCAAAAATCTATAAAAATTATCTTTAATTATTTTCTTGCTTATTTTTTGTGTTCTTACTAACTACCATTTGATGCTGCTATAGGGAAAAAAATCATGAGACTCCCGAATAAATATGATTTACTTTAATATCATGTCAGGACATAAAGGACAGGAAGTTCTTACGGTACAAATTCACACATCACTAAGAACTACAGTAGGAGCTAAGTTTATGAAAACCAGTTTGAACCTACATGTGTTTCAGTTAGTGTTTTCTACTAGCAACCAGATAAGTATACAGCAACAGTTGATTCACTGTAAATATTGACTGGAAAAATAATGAGTAAAAACCTATTTTTACCAACTATCTGAGATATTTGTTTAAAGCTGTTATCAGTTAATTTATTCTTGAATATCATAAATAACTTCCTAAACTGTGACAATATATTGAGTATTTAAGCAAATTGTTTACATTATTGAATGTTCTAGTTTATTACATGATGTCAATGAAACCTAGCTTTCCTAAATTACATAGGAGCATAAGGGCTTAATATGTTTAGTAAACTTAATCATTATAAATAATTAGAAGACATATAAAGAAATGAATCAGAGTGTTTCTTTCATCTTATAGATATGTAACAAACCTTTAAAATGTTTCTCAAAATCAATAAAAAAGTACATTGTTTGAATTTATTTTATTCTTAAAATGAATTTATCTATTCCTATAGGTATACAGATGGACTTTCAAAATTGTATTTTGGAATAATTCTGATGTTTTACGGATTATGGATTTGATTTTTGAACACTGTAATGAAGTGATTGTTTTAATAATTCAACATATATTTTAGATTCCAGTGTATATAATAATTATATTTAAGCTATGTTATAATATATTGAGTACACAATAGTACTATGTCTAAAAAATTAACTACCATATATTTTAGTAACTCAAGTCAGTGACTCAAATAACAATTCCAATATCTATATATATTATTTTTACTTTACTAGTTGTGTGTGTGTGTGTGTGTGTGTGTGTGTGTGTGTGTGTGTGTATGTGTGTGTATGTTTCTGGTATGTGTGTGTGTGTTAGTACAGGTATGCACATGCCAAGGTGCCTGTGTTAAGATCAGAGGGCAAGTTTAAATAGTCTGTTCTTTCCTTCCACTTTGTGAGGTAAAGTTTCTCTTGTTTCTTCTGTGTATTCCAAGCTAACTGGTTTGGACACTTCCAGAAAAAAACAAATGTCTCATCACTGCCCCCATCTCACCACAGGCACCTTGAGATTACAAATACATGTCAGCACATCAGTCTTTAATGAGGTTCTGGGGAATGAATTTAGTTCATCAGGCTTATTTGGAAAGCACTCTTACCCATTGAGCCATATCTTCAGCCATACTATCTCACCAGCCCCAACACGCATATATTAGATTTTTTAAAAAGCACTTAAAAGTATCAATACTTCCAACAGACATAAAATCACTTGCTTCATTAAAGCTTTGAACCCCTCCATCATTCAAGAAGATTGTAATCAACTTCTTTCAAACTCTTGTATTACTTTAACCTCCCATAGATCAGAATGTGTCTTACCTGGTGTTAAGATTGGTAAGTCCTTTCCAAAAAAAGTTTAAATATACTTTAACCAAATCCTTGAAAGGAATCACTATCCATAGAAGCCATAACTTTACCAGATGTATCTGTAAACTGAAAAAAAATGAATTTTAAAGTAACCCCTCAATATATGGGCTACAGAATGGCTATTATTTCAGCAAGGAGGAAAATAAATTAATTTTATTATGAATCTTCTGGTCTTAGGTGACCTGGTGCATTGTCAAAGAGCAGTAACAGTTTGAGAAGACTCTTTTTCTCATTTTTCTGATGAGCAGATTTCAACTCTCAGCTTAAAGTATTCACTAGGCCTTATGGTTAACAGATGTGCCATCACCCAAGCTACATTGTTCCATTTATAGAACATGGGCAGAGATTTGCTCTAACTATTCAATGCTCCAGGAGTTTTAGACTCATAAATGAGTATTGGTCTCAAAAATCACTAATTGCCCCAGTCCTTAAGAAGAAAGTCAGCCTGTCTCTGAGGCTTCGATGCCAGACATTGCCTTCTCTCTAGCTGCATAAAATAGATGGCATCTTGTTCTAATGGTGGTTTCATGTGTATGGACATCGTAGCTTGGGGTAGATAGTTCAACAATGATCTCATCTTCATCATTTGGGTAAGTTACACATTGTATGTATCTATATTTGTCTCCTTTCACCTTGCCCTTTTAGGCTAACGAGATAGCTTCTCTCTTTAAATATTAGAACTCAGCCTCCACCACCATCAAGTTTCTCTTCTGTAGCTTTTTCCTGTCTTGGAGCTTGCACAGCATTGAATGGAGTGAGATCATTGCTCTGCATTAAGATTTGGCTTAAGGAAATGACATGACTGGTTGACATATCCAGACCTCTAAAGCATCTTCCATATCAACAAAAAGGCTAACACTTCCCTATCATTCATGTTCACTGGGGTAGAACTCCTAACTTCCCTTGACTTTGTCTTTGTATTCACAAGTTAGCTATTTGGTGTATGAGGCCTGACTTCAATATGTCTTCCTCATTAAGATTTTGGTTGTAAAATAAAATGAGAGTGACCTTCCAGGAATACTTGGAGGTTACTTTTACCTTGGTTAATTGCCTTAATTTCAATGTAATTACATTCCTAACACAAAGTCACTCACTAGGCTGGGGTGAGTGCTCAGTGGGTAAGGCACTTGCCATGCAATGTGAGGATCTGAGTATCTAGAACCCAAGTAAAGTTGGATGTGGTACCACACATCTGGAATCACAGGATGTCCATGGTGAGATGGGAGACAGAGGCATAAGAAACTATAGGAGAGTATGGGCCAGCTTCCTCATATGTACGAAACAGCAGCAAACAATAAGAAACCCTATCCCGGGGGCTGGGCAGATGGCTCAGAGGATAGGAGCACTGACTGTTCTTCCCGAGGTCCTGAGTTCAATTCCCAGCAACCACATGGTGGCTCACAACCATCTGTAATGAGATCTGGTGCCCTCTTCTGGCCTGCAGTCATACATGCTGTATACATAATAAATAAATAAATCTTAAAAAAAAAAAAAGAAAGAAAGAAAGAAAGAAAAAAAAGAAACCCTATCCCAAACAAAGCAAAAGGCAAGTCAAAGCAAGAAATAAAATCTGGATTTGCTCATTGACCTTAACAGGTACACTGTGGTATGGGCACATCTACCAATGCATGCGTGCGTGTGTGTGCGCGCGCGCTCACACACACACACACACACACGCTTACTGACCACAGGTTACTCTAAAAATATAATAATAATGATAATAAATAATGAGATACTTTGAAAATGATCAAAATATGGCACAGGGATACAAGTGTGCATATGATAATGGACAAATACTGCTAAGTCTTTTGCATGTAAGGTTACCAGACACCTGTGATTTGTGAGGAATAAAACATCTCTGACATTCTGTCCATCTGGATTCTTTGTTTTACAAACCAAGTACCTTAAGATACTTGAAAACATAAAAATCCTGGATTATATATGTGAGAGGGATATGCTTTTAGGCAGTGGTCCTCTGTGAAACACACAGCAAAGATTGTACGGAAAGCCAATGAGACTACCCATTGCAAGAGAAATGGAACTGTGATCCTGAAATTAAAAATTACCACAGGAAAATGTCCTGAGCATCAGAGTGTCATTCAAGTGTGCTGTTAGGGAGAGCGAGCATTCATGCTCCGTGCGTGAGACAGTCACTAGAGTGGACAAGGCTTTTCACTGGTGACTGCACTTTATCTTAGACAAGACTGAATTTGAGCATGATATATGCTTTAGGTGGAAACTACTCAGACTTATGATTGTGGGCAATCTTAAGGACTTGGAAAACAAGCAGACTTAAAAAACAAATGAACACCCCTTCCTTAAAAACTGTGCTAGCTATACTTCAAAACAATTCTTTTTTGTTGTAAAATTGCCTTAAGAAATGGAACACTGGGAGAGTACTTTCTCAAAAAAAAAAAAAAAAAAAGCAGGTATATTGGGAAAAGCCTAACAGTAGCCTTGACTTCAGGGCTCCTTTTATTTTGACAATAGGGCTTCGGCTCTGCAGTTATTTTTGTTGATTGTGGCCTTTGCACCAGGTATCTGAACTGCCCTGAACTTTAGCCAAGGGTGTGACTTCCACACTGGAACTCTGAGGACGACAACTGTTGCTTAAATTTGAGTTAGAAAAGTGCACCTGCCATCTCTGTTTCTGGCGATGTTGGGAAGCATCAAAGGAAAGCAAACATTCCACAAGCTATAGCCAGTGTGGCTGCCTCCACAGGAACTATGTGAGAGATTGGAGGAGAAAGGCTATAATTACTTACACAAGGAACAGTTGAGGATCCAGACGTGTCATACTGTGAATATGTCTTTGGCTGTAGTCCTCAAAAGTATCTACACTTCAAATATGTAGCTTAGCTTTCTAATATTATGTTTGTACTTGAACCCTATGCATCCTGGGTTTTCAAGATAAGTTGATATGAATTTCCCAACTTTTCCCTCAACTTTCTACCACAGTTGGTTCTTTTCTCAGTTAATATTATTTTAATACCACTTAAAAGCAACACCAACTGAGAAAATAACTCTGATATGAGTCCTTAGGTTCTGTGCACAATCATTATCACTTATGATTTTTTAAAAATATGTGACAGAGGTGAAAACATTGAAGATGCAAATAATTATTATAAAAATAATCAGAGGCATCCAAAGACAGGGGCCTTTGTCCCGGTTCTGATACTGAGCAAGGTGATAATTTAGAGAAATCATACAGCTTTATGGGAGTCTTTCAGTGTCTCTCTTGTAAAATAACAAAATGATGTAAGTTTAGCAATCCTAAAAGAACTCAATTTTAGAGCACATGCACATGTTGCAAGTGATTTATTAACATAAACAATCTCACTTACTAAAGTGCGGTCCCAGTAGAACCTACCATACCTGCCAGGTATTAAATCATTCAGGTTAATCCAGAAAAAATTGTTTAGGGGTTTAAAACACATGCTGCTTTTGTAAAGGACCTGGGTTTGGTTCCCAGTACTGTGTAGAGCAGTTCCAGAGATATCTGATTATTCTGGTTTCCCCAGGCACCTACACATATCCAGACGTACATATACACATATTTTAATTTTTTTAAAATGTCTACCCATTTCATTTAGAGTAGCAAATAGAAATGTCAAAACAATGTCACATTCCTCATACACTAAAATAGACATCTCATAAATTTGTCAATAATTGCCAAATTGTATAAAGGCTTTAGGCTTCTCAGTTACAATGAAAATAAAACAAATGCTTCTTTTCAATTTCTTCAAGGATTTGTGAAAATTAAAAAAAAAAAAACCTCATTTGTGTGTACACAAGTTCACATGTGTGCAGTCGGGGCATATGTGGGAGCATTTTTCAATATTAGTTACTCTCCTCAATCACATTTCACTTTATTATTTTTTTTGACAGGATCTGTCACAGAATTTGGAACTCATCAATTGAGCAAGACAAACTTGTCAGTAAAGCTCATGAATTCTCCTATCTCTCCATCCTTAACTCTGGAATTACAGATTAGCGCTGCCACAACATGGCTTCTGAACTTGAATTAGGATCTTCACATTTGCATGTCTATAACTTTACTGATGAGTGTCTCCTCAGTTCATCCCGCCCCCCTTTTTAATGTGGAAAGTTGCTGATTGAACTCAGGTCCCAGTGCTTCTACAGTAAGTATTTTATCAACTAACCCATTTTTTCACCCCCTTCCATTATTCTTTGAAATAAAATCATAATGTTCTATGACATCTGAAATAAATGTTGCATATTATAGACTTTTAAAGGGTTTGATTATAAGTCAATTGTTTCTAAATATTTTGTGCTTGAGCACTCAGCTATTAAAATACATAGAGACATATGATTACATCTAAGGAACAGATGTTGGCCCAAAATATGCTGAATACAGACTTTACCGAGTATAGTATATCATTTTCCTCCATCTATTTTCACTTCTGGTCACCTCCCTCACCCAAAGATATTCGTACTTTGGACAGAAAATCCTGTGATGTCATTTGAGGGAAAATTACAGTGTGAGTTTTGTTTATAACAATGTAGTGGTCAGGAAAATACATTCCACCGCATTGCTGGATTACAGCTCAGAAAACATTCATGTTCATTTGTAATTCCTCCAAGAGGGCAGTGAAAAAGATATATGTGGAGATGGAAAGAGATCAAAAGAAGTGTTTTCTAAAATGAGTGGAAATGAAGTATATATGATATATGATCCATGACATACAATATAATAAGGATCTTGAACAAAAAGGCCACATCCAAAAATGGTGCAGAAGATAAAAGGGTAAAGAAAAAAATCTTCCTCTTTCTCTCTCTCCTACTTATTTCACATAATGGATGTGAAGTTATAATGTGATGATGGAAAAAAACAGGTCACTGAGCTAGCACAAAGACCTCACTTCTCTGTGTATACATTCTGCTAGAAATTGACCTGATACCTCAAAAAATGAAAAGCTAGAACATAGCACTATGATGTGATGACTGAATAGCAGGACCTGTAAAGTGGGACAACATTAAGACTGGAAGATTGTGATATAAGTTATGGGCCACTTTTAAGTCTTTTATATGAAGAAAATAGAAGA